AATTAAAAATGATATCCAACTTAATATCTTTAAAGAGCAGAAATAATCGGCCAGCAGGCCCTCACAAATAATTCAGATTTTAGAGGGGTAATTATTGACAACAGTGTTCATTTCAAAATTGTTCTCAAAGCTTACGTGCCACCAAGTTTCTTGATTATTTTTTGGCCAGCTGCTGAGACCTCAACTGTCTCTCTGGAAATAGTTACGAAGCTTCCGATTATTATTATTATTATTTATTACTAATATAGGCCTATAATGGGTAGATGGGAGCTGAAGTAAAAAGTACTTTTAACATGCACTTTCTGAAAAGAGGAATTAGGGCATACTTCTAAAATGTTCATTCTTTATATTCAAAATATGTCACTTTGTTACTATGTTGATGAAAAGTTCGGAGCTTCCAGGGGCTTCCCCTACCCCACCGGAGGAAATTTGCGGCTTCCATTTCCCCAGCCATAACTCAGGCCTTCAGCCTTGCTTCACTTTAAAGGGCCGGTCACATTAATTTTTCCCAACTGTTACGACGCTTCAACTCACGGTACATTGAGATCGCCTATTTTCTATTGTGCTTCCTCTTTTGACATTATGACTAAATAGAATCAATGCCCAGTCCTCAGCTGCCTTAGAAATATTGCCTTACATTAATATAGTGTAACTGGTTACCCAATTATAAATGTTAAGTACGACCTGGACCCTCAAAGGCGGAATGTGAGCTTCAGTGGCAGGACCTTTTATAAAAGTTATGTATATATCAGTATACTTGGAATTAACTAAACACTGGCAATTGTATGTTTCAACAAAGGTTCAGCATTAACAGCTCAATGAACCAAAAGGGCTCTTGGTATTGAGTGTTCAGAAATACGTCAGTGGAGACTGGGGTGAGGAGTACTATAGGAAAAACATTAACAAAGCAGACAACACTCCTTAGATATTTAGCAAAAATCTGTGCGCATGCTTACGGGGTGCTGCTCAAAATCATTGTGTATCGGATTATTAAAGACGGTAATGGCGGTGACTGCCATTACCATCCTTACAAAAAGTAGTTCCACATTATTGACTATTACATTATTACACGCGGTGAAGATACACAATGATTTTGAACTGCACCCCGTGAGTATAGCTGTGCATGCTTTGAAAAAAAGCGCGTATATAATACATAGTATTGTGTAAATATTGTTTAATGGTGACATTTACATCAAATAATGAAGCTGGAACTGTCATTTAGTCTGAAGTTTAAACTAAAACCTACCTTCTATTTGTCATTTCATATCTAGAGCATTATCCATTGTCCATCTTTGCTTGGGTTAACATGTATTATCACACATAATTGGTACACAATTGTTTGTATAAACCATTATTGGCAAGGTTTGTAATTGCTGTGTGTGCAGACGACGGTATCTCGGTAGGAATACCTCAAAAGGTGCGTGTGACATTTAGCACGCGCCCCATGGATGCGATTACCTCGTGTGAATTGTTTATTTTTGCATTAAGCTTAACTTTTCAGAATCTGGATTTTGTAGGCTCTTATAACTAGCACGGTTTGCACAATTTAATTTTTAATACTAATTTTGCCTAAATATCAGCAACTTTTTTTTTTGTATAGTTACTAACTAGGCCAACTTTTTAAACAGTAATCCGTAATTAAATCAATACTTACATTGAGATACAGAACCACTAATCATAGCCATGAAGGCAAAAATGAACACGTAAATCTGCAACATCTTGCAATCCGCACAAACCATAACAGATTAAAGTGTGGTTCTGTTACAATAGTTTACTTATGGCGATACCATGCTCCATCAACCCTATTCCTTTACAAAGTTTCACACAAAATCAATTGAGTGAGAACTATATACAAAATTTACAATACAATATAAAAGTCAATTGTACTGTGGAACTACTTTTCGTAACGGATTACTAAGGATGGCAATGGCAATGGAGTAGCCGTGTATTTAGATAGAGTGCGTACATTATACAAATAATATACAACCGTTATGCGCTTTCTGTAGAATTTATGTAGGGAGAAATGAAACCTATGTAAATATTATTTGGTGTCATTCACATCAAATAATGAAGTTGGAACTGTCATTTACTCTGAAGTTAAAACTAAAAATCCTTTTCATTATATATATATATATATATATATATATATATATATATATATATATATATATATATATATATATAAAAAAATATTTTTATATTGTATATCAAATGACTTACGTTCAATCACATCATAGTTATCAAACTACCAAAGGTTTTTAAATGATGAAAGCGTTACAACTACATAAAAGCAATACATTAAGGCCACAAATATGTTTCATATTTTTACTATGTTTTATTCTTTTCTACATCACATATCGTCAAAACGTTTATTTCAAAGGCTGCTATGCTTATACAAATCAAATGTATGTGTGTTAGTTCGGAAATAGGTCTACGTCTTTAATTAATAATATTATAATTATGAAATATCTTTCTCTTTAAGCGGAAGGAAGAAGAAGCTACGGTATAAGAAGGCATTAAAATTTGTGGTAAGTATAGGGTATTAAATTAATAGTACTATTAAGATTATGTGAAATGCAATAAACGTCTGTATTTCTAAGGAAGTTGAAAAAGTTCAATATATGCAGTAACATAATGAGACTGTGTGACGAATCAGTTACCCAATCAGTACTTAGTGTCTGCTGTATTGTATGTGGTAACTGTATAACTGGGGCTGACCAAATTTGTCCAAACGCGATAATTTTACTGTGATATTCTTAATAAGAAATTAATCTAATCTTGCCTTATAAGACACACCCTCTGCATGGAGACATAATAGTTCATACGTTTAGAATATAGGCCTAATTAGAATGCCTAAACTGGGAGATTTAGGAATTCTTTACTGCCTTCATCAGTTACAGAATATTGTAAGAGAAAATTAACATAATGTATGTTGCAAGTGGATTTTATCTATTTTTTATGCGTGTTATTTAATATTATTATTATTTATCTTTTTTTTTTACTGGTTCCTAATTAGCAATAAGGAAGGAAAATTTCATAATAGTATCTTGTCTTTTCATGGCAAAACAGATATCTGTATCTCTATCTATGTATCTTAATCATGACCATTCATTTATAGCAATAAAACGATAGTTTGAATTAGAATGCATTTCCAAGCTTAGAAACCTTTTCTTGAGTTGCCAGAGCTCTCCTTTCTAATGATAACCAAGATGAGCTGTAAATAAAAAAGTAATTAAATAAGTCATGTGCTATGCTACCGAAACATCCATAAAGCAAGTATTATCGACAAACATTTAATTAAGAGACACGAGAGATTTTAATCTTTCTCCCATATTAGTAATTATTACAGGGACAAATGAGACATGTTTCGGAAACCATTTTCCAATATCAGTGTGAAGCTTACACCCGTGTATGTAAACTTTATTATGCATACATTGTTACTTATCCTAACAGCTGAAACACATTCTCGCTATTATAAGCGTATTCAGAAAATTCAGATAGCTAAATAGAGAGCGTGATATTCAAGTGCGACAGTTGTTTATTTAAAGAGGGTTTTTTTCCCAATTCTCTTTGAGTTTTAATTGGTAGGAAGAATTTGCCGAGTCCAAAACAGTGAAACCGCTCTCATCAGAGAACCGACGACAGGATTCTGCACTTTGCAAATGTTGAATCATTGTGTACAATATTACATAAAGTACATAAATGTAAATTTAATATTAGTTTAAAATATACTTCTGCTTGACAACATAATATTTGTAACTATATTTAATAAGGAAGACAAATAAATATAATGTAGGCCTATATTATTTTAGGGTAACAAGTCTCCACAATACAAAGTATGCGTATTTTAAATGAATCTTTATATTTCCTTTCGGAGTAAAGAGTGGAGCTTAACAAAAATATATTCAAAATTCATTAGCTTAAATGCTGAGACAATATCCTATTCCTACTTTTTGTTTACCAAGCAGTTATGTTAACTAAAACTGCGACCTAATTTATCATCCAAAATGAATTAGGGGAACACTAGGGGAGTACATCTTTTACAAGTTTTATTAGTGTCAAAAAGACGAAACAAGTTCATCATAAAGTGTTGAATTTCAATCGTGTGTACTTACATTGTTCACAGTTATCACCGGAAAATCCATATTTACATTCACAGGTATACTGACATTGCGAACCATCTTTCTCTCTGCATGTTCCTCCATTTTTACAAGGATTATTATCACATGGATCATCAGAGTGTTCTGGAAAAATAAAAATAATAATAGTAAATATTAATAAAATAATAATAATAGTAAATACTAATAATGGTAAATATCAATAATAATAATTATAGTAAATAATAATAATAATAATGATAATGATAATAGTAAATAATAATATTAATAATAATAATATTTATTATTATTATTACTATTATTATTATTACTATTATTAATAATAAAATAATTTATTTGTGTCTACTGGGCTAAGAATTAACTATAAGACCCCACCCACTCTTTACGTCACCCTCAATACACTGTACACAATAAAGTAACACATGATCAGATATAGTGTGATTCGGTCGTGATTTATTACGACAAAAGGCAAATGGACCGTCGCACACGATCGGTGTGCACGGAGCGAGGTAATTACAATCCGCAACGAGAAAAGGGGTCCGGTTATGATTCCACACGAGGAAATGCAATAGGTTGAAATTATTACGCAGACCGAGTGATACCAATTGGGGTGTACCTACGCCCCTTGACACAAAGAGTTGAAAATTTATTTGTTTACTGGTCAATTCATTAGTGTACTTAGTCGATATTTTGTCAATAATTATTCCAAAAATACTTTCTTTTTTCAAATTTAATTGTTCACTAGACTGTTATCTTGCTTTTTACTGCAGTCAATTGGCAAACTAGACCTTTTCGAAGTGCCACACGTGTTATCAAACAATCGCACGTGTTTGCATATGCTTGTACACTGTCGTTTTTTAGGACCTTAGTAACAATATCAAATGGGCCAGGCTTAGCTGAAGGGTCCATAAGATATGATTAAGATATGACAACTTGGGTTCAGACATCTTACTTTGACAATATCTGCCTTCAAAGCAAGGTTGGCAATTGCATGCTGCTTGGCAAGAGGTTGGATCAATGACACATTCTCCATCATTTTTACAAGGGTTTGTTGTGCATGAGGTGCCAGATCGATCTGAAAAGAGAATGATATTAATCAGTCAAGATAAAATGTACAGAATTGTGGATCCTTAAAGACATTTTCCGTTAATGTAAATAATTACTATTGTTCATTTTAGTATAATTTGGCATTGCTAACTGTTTAGCTAACTAAACTAAGCTAACTAAATTGTAACATAACTTGGTCTGTTTAGGTAATTAATTTGCGAAATTATAACCAAAATTTTGAATTGTCTTAGTATATTGAAATATAATATTAGCGGTTTAGAGCGCACCAACAAAATACCAGACACATAATAGGCCTAATACAGATTTTATTTTCTTGTTTGCACTGATAGTAATCAATTTTTGAAGTAAAAAAGATTATTTTCTATAGTCAACAACTTAATTTAGCTTTTCAAATGAGTTTTTACATTTTGTACTCACTTAAAAAATGTTTTATTTTATAAAATAAATATTTTAGACTAAATTGCACAGGTCCATCTTTAAAACACTTATCTTACTTATTTCGCATCGGTCTCCGGAAAAACAATGGGAACATCGGCACACAAACTTAGTACAGTCAGCAACGTCAGGAATACAAATACCCCCATTCAGACAACTGTTTTCGTCACATGGGTTGATGCCTGAAAACATATAGACACACTAGGTAGAACTTTCTGAACGCATCAACAGGTTATTGGAATTTTGAACAATTTATGTTAAAGCCAACACAAATACTTAATTGTAATATAAGCTCTCAAACCCTTTAAGTTTTATTACAAAATATGCATAAATGATATTTTTGAAAAATGTCTGTGTTTAATTAAATCGTACTTAGGCAAATTATCAATTCTTATATCACTATTAAATAATAAAATAAATAATGTTTATATGTATCGCATAATATAGCATGTTAACGAGATTATCTAATGCAATATAAAATAAAACAAACTAAGTAACTAAAGTAAAATTAACATTTATTGTAGATGTTTTACTAATTTGAAAAATAAGCTTCAGTATCCTTGTATATATGTTACTTTTGAACGAGAAATATTTAGTAATGAAGATAAACCATAAACTTACGTGTTGTGCAAGACGTTCCCGTGTAACATTCTCTACATTGACATTCGGTTGAACATGTATCCAAATCTGCTACACATGTAGCTGTAAAACCACAGTTAACACCAGCGCATATGTCCTTAGCTGTATAATATAACATTGAAACACGTAAACATATATGACGTAATGAACAATTCATATAAATATTATGTCTCAACATAGGAAGAACAGTACTTAGACAAATAATCTAGTAATAACAAGTTAATTGTTGAATAGGACTGGAATACACATAGGCCTACTTTATTATTATATGGTAGACGAGACGAGACGTGTTATTTAGAAGGCACTTTAATTCACCGTGTAACTTTAGTTAATTTTAACCATTTTAACAAATCAGCGTTACAATAGTTATTCAAAACCTACCAGTTTGGCATTTGTTTCCTTCAAAACAGTCCCGACATTGGCAGGTGAAAGAACACGTATCGATATTTGGGATACATGTTGCACCATTCTGACAATCGTGGTTAGCACATGGATCTCGAACTGCAGAAGAAAATATAAATATATATTCATACTAAAGTACGCGCTATCAAATTAGTGATAGCGTAAGCGTTACATTAAGAATATAAAACTATAGGGCCTAATTATGGTGATATTGAATTCTAAACCAAGACGTTGCCATTACATATTAGTTGCCTCCCAACAAATTCATTAAGCCAAAGTGATGGATAGAGGAATATATAAATACTTATATTAGCATAATGCAATAAGATGTACTGAATAAACTCTGCATAATACAGTATGTAGGCCTATATATATATATATATATATATATATATATATATATACATACATATATATATATATCGAGATAAACTTAAGCTATAGATTCCCACAGTATTGCTGTTTTTCAGTATTACGTCATTTAATGTATACCTATACACACAGACATATATAATTATATATATAAGCTTTATTTTCTGAATATATAAAAAAACAATAGTTAACACAAAACAAATTGTGCCACAGATAATATTAACGATAATGATGCCAATCAAATTTAATATTAGAGAAGAGTATGTGTAAGCAGTGTGTGAATTAGGATGTGCACAGAACAACGCATGTATACTTACGTTTCCTACAAATATCATCTACAAATATTACTAAACCTTCCCTTCTAGTGATTAACTTAATATATTAGTATGGTATAACCCTTTGAATTTCTAACAAAACACACCACTCTCGCAGGAATCACCAAAGTAGCATTCTCTGCAACGACACGAATACGAACAGTCCTCAATATTCTTCACGCAGGTCGCCCCGTTTAGACAACCGTTTACCTCACAAGGATTTAATGCTTAAAAAGAAAAGTGAAAATAATATATTTACATCTTCAATTAACCATAAAAAAGAGAAGAAAACGATGTTCATGTCCACATCTTTTAAATGTTATTTACATAGAAGCTCAAGATTAATATATTTTGTAAGATCATTAGCCACTATTGCGTTTATTCTGCAAAAAAATTAACAATTATAATAACATAACTCACCGACTTGGCATCGATCTCCTGCGAAGCATGGCTTACAATTGCAAGATGTCTCGCATCTGCTAAGATCAGCGTTACACGTTCCACCGTTTTCACAGTTCACTCCGCTACATATATCAACAGCTTTTAAAATTAATATAGAAAAACTTAATTTGATATTTAAATAAAAAAACGCCGATAAAACAGTTTTTCTTATTTAATCTTTTATTAATATTGTTTTTGATTAAATTTTTGTTGCGATCTATTTTTTTTTCAAATTACAATTAGGCCATAATATTATAGTGAAATACAGAGAGGCCTATTTTACGTACAATAACTGTACATTTATTTGTGACTGCAAGGTATGAAAAATTTAGTGATGCTTACGATTCTGACATCGGTCACCAGTGTAACAAGATGTGCATGAACAAGATGTTTCACAAGTATTCAGATCAGCATTGCATGTTCCTCCGTTTCTACAGTTAACACTACGACAGATATCAACGGCTATGAGGGAAAAGTTTTCGGCCTGTAAATAACATTACTATAGGAACCTAGCTAGAAAATCATATTATCGTTTATTAAAACAAAAATCATATTGTAAAAAAGCATCTAGCGTGATCGTTATGTTTACTGTACATTAAAAGTATTGAAAACTCTCAAACTTTGTGGGTTTATATATTATAGTTTGATGTAAATTGTAAAAATAAATTGTAAAACTAAACACTGACTTACCTGTTTCTCTTATACACATCTAGATGTGTATAAGAGACAGATACACACAGACATATATAATTATATATATAAGCTTTATTTTCTGAATATATAAAAAAACAATAGTTAACACAAAACAAATTGTGCCACAGATAATATTAACGATAATGATGCCAATCAAATTTAATATTAGAGAAGAGTATGTATAAGTTTGAGATGTAATTTTATTCCACGTGGAAAATTCAATAATAAATACAAATATGCAATACTACACATTTTTAGTTCCTTTGTGACCTTAGGTCACAGAGGAACTATTGGGATGATACAGATGTGAAATGTGTGTATGAGATGTATGGCAACAACCTGTCTGTATGTCTGTAAACAAATAGACTCCTAAAAGGTGCTTAGCGGCGGGTATACATTGTGCCCAAGAGGTACTGGTGGACATGTAATTGTGTGGGAAATGTTTGTTTTTTTCCTTTAGATAGAAAATGTAAGTTGTCACGATAAAACATATACCCCTACCACCGGTTTTGAGTCGTTTTTTAGTCCAAATTTTGATTTGTGCATGCTGTAGTAGTATGTATTTTTTTCGGAGATGTGACGCTAAACAATGCAATGCAACATTTCGAGATCTAGTTCCTTGTATACTTGCTCATTTCGCTGCTTGTTACCATACCACGATAGCTATAAATTGGCAAGTCCAATTAGATTCAAATTTAGGAAAATGCAATGAATGAATTTGGTGACTATTAATTATCAGAATTCCCAAAGTTGTACAAAGGAACGTACACACCCGCAGGGTTCTGGTTTATAAACGTCGTGATAGGTATTTAATAGTAATGATATTTTATAGGTTATAAAAGAATTACAATTTACATCGGATAAAATGTTTCGTGACAAAATGTAAAATATTTTGATATATTCACAAGATCAAAAGGCACAGGGTTGGATTGAAATGGAAGATGAGCTCATTAATATTTTTTCTCATAGGCTTCGGCTTCTATGCAACATTGTTTCATAGAGTACACTTACATGTTTGACACCTATCGCCCGTAAAACATGTTCTACAACTACATGATGTTTCACACGTGTCGAGGTTTGGAACACATGTTCCACCGTTTTGACAGTTGACGTTGCTACAAATATCTAAAGCTAAAACAAAGTTAATACACATTGTTATTATACTCAATAATTCAAAAGGGTAAAATGAAGGTAGAAAATATATATTTTTTTAATTATACAGATATTCTTTAGGCACAAAAATATAAGTATTAACCATGTTTTAACCATTTAACCATTATTTCATTAACAGCTTAATTGGCCGACAATGCTTTTTTGCGTCTCGTGTGCAGAAACTTCAAAGCTGGGGTGATTTTACATTCCAATGATTATGTCGTTGCTAGGCCAAGCTATGATGACAGCGCAAACCTCTCTCTATGGCACTGGTGAACACGAAATAACACCTAGTAACATCGTTTCATCGTCCTTTTAGACAGTGCATAGAAAGGCATAATGGTTAGGATACATGGTGATTGAATTATAAAAGAACTGAAAAATAAGGTAAGACTGAAATAATTCATAATAATGTTTTCAATACATTTTAATCATAGGCCCCTATGTCTACCAGAAGGTTAGGGTTCCTAATAACCCTTAATAATATCCAGAATAATGTATTAATCCTCGTTGTATCGCTGGTATCCCAAAGATCCTAGCGTGAAGAGAAGAGTGTCAGTGCACGTACTACTAACACATCCTTCTAATACGTGCAGCTAATGGATGCGCACCAGTAATCACTGAGCAACCGGCCACCATAACCAACAGTTTAATTTATGATATTATACAAAGCAATTATAGCCAAGTACTTTCATAAACTATAGGCAATAAAAGTCTTGAGCCATTATTTCCTACAAAAATTGCCTTCAGACCTGAGGACTTCAGGCAATTGTTTCAGGAATTAACAGCTTCTTCGCCTTCTATTTCCAATAGTGTACTTAAAACTGAGTATTGTTTAATATTGATGTATTGCTAACATCGCTTTATACTCTCACAAGAATAGATTTGATGAAAGCTCTAGTGTAAGACGGAGGCAGCGAAACTATTATACTCACCATTTTGACACCTATTTCCACTGAAACATGATCTACATGTGCATGATGAGCTACAGGTATCAAGGTTAGGAACACACGTTCCTCCATTTTGGCAGTTTACGTTTTGACAGAGATCAACAGCTGTTTTGATATAAAATAATTTATGAAAATAAATACTACCAACTTTGAAAAATTATTTCATAATTAGGTGTTACTATAAATAATTGCAGTGAACGTGTGTGATTTATGCAAGCAGATAATATAGGATTGCTACATCTCCTGCTAGTCAAAACCTACCTTTATTATCTGTGCAGAAGTGCCATCGGAGGTGGGAGTGAATGGTACTTGGGCGTCCGAAAATGGACAAAATGGGATCAGATGAGCAAAGCAGGTTTGATCACAGATTCGATATTTTATTATTATAATAAATTTAATACCAAAATACTGGTATAATAATAATTTTACATTACAGAATTTATAGTTAGTACATTCCCGACTCTCTGAAAATGTGAACCTTTTCCGATTTGGGGTGTGTACGCACCCATTACACCCCACCTCACTGGATACGGTCACGGTCTATATAATTACCTGTTTGACAGGTGTTACCAACAAAACATGATCTACATGTACATGAAGTTCTGCAAGTGTTCAAATCAGCGACACACGTACCACCATTTTGGCAATTAACACTACTACAAATATCAACAGCTACAACAAAAGATAAATATATTTAATAGAAAACAACCAGATAAAATTATAAGTGATGCTACTAATAAATAGAAGAAAAAATATTGAAATATTTTGCCAGCTGGATAAATTTTCTAGTAAGAAATATATTGTGCATTAAATGAAAACCTTATTATAAAATATAATTTTTAATTTCACAGGATGGATAATGTTTTATGTTTATTAAGGCTTAGGGAGTTGAGAGAAGTTCTGTTAGAATTGTACCCAGTACGGTACCCTGGGAAAAGGAGGCAGACATCTTTAAAACTACAGCACTACGCTAGTTCCACTCCACTTGCTGTATCACATGCACTTACCAGTTTGACATCTATTTCCAGTGAAGCATGATTTGCAAGTACATTTAGCTTGACATATATTCAAATCAGTAGAACACGTGCCGCCATTTCTACAGTTAATTCCCTTACAAAGATCTACAGCTATTGATAAAAAGTAAACCAGTTTAACAATTCTGACATTCACAGAATATATTAATTTTGTCATAGTGAAATTTCAAGATTTTCATTTAATAATTGTGTGATATTGTTAAATATTAGGCCTATTTTATAGCATCTACATGGTAAAAATAAGGGGGGGTAACTACTTTAAAACGCAACCACACAATGGAAAAGCAATACAATGATAAATGTATAAGTTGGAAAAAGGCCACCACAAGAAGCATAGATTTAAAACGCGGCGACTTACAAATGAAAAATAATGAAAAGAAATAATTCTGGTACTAGGATTTTGTGCGCTTTATACAGTTTAATATGCAGTAACTTACGATTTTCACACCTGTCTCCTGTAAAGCATTGTTTGCATTTACAAGACGTTTGGCAGGTGTTCAAATCAGCTACACAAGTTCCTCCATTTTCACAATTTGTATTCTGGCAAATATCGAGAGCTGTTGAACAAAAGTACGTAGTTGCATGATTATGTCATTATACAACAAAAGGGTTATTTGTTTATGTATATAAACTAAATAAACGATAGTAAAGTTAGAATAGATGATCAAAGAGAGAAGTATTTATGTATGGAATATATTCATAATTAAAATAACGAAAATGCAATACAGGCTAATCAGTAAGCCTATATATACCTATATATACGTATAGGCCTATATATACGTGTATATATATATATATATATATATATAT